TTACTATGATATGGTCTATTTCGTTATGGTACTCTCCACTGGGAGACTCCCACGTCCAGCATTGATGGTGGGAATTCAGGAATTGCAAGTTACAATGTTATACCTTTTTATTTTCTGCCTACTATAATTTCGCGGCAGGATACTAAGCGAAATACAACTACAACGTTGCTGAGATATTTGCAAAACTCTGGACCGCAGGTGTCTATGGTGGAGAACGAACGCGCTATCGTCCTTTCCGGGGAGTAACGCGTTCACCACCACTCCATGCGGGTCCTTCGTTTCGCTTGTCTCTCAGCTATTTCCCACCATAGACACCTGCGGTCCAGAGTTTTGCAAATATCTCAGCAACGTTGTAATTGCAAGTTACCTTGGATGCTCTTGGTCGCCATGATAAACTCAGATAGACGCTCACCATGTTCGTTTCGTTTTAATCCGTGGGTCCCAATGTGACGTTCTTCAGACGTTTTTCTTGGTCCAGTCTTGGTGTTGAGACCTCCAATGATGACCTTGAAGAATGTGTGGTCTTCTCTGTACAATTTCTCCAAGGCCACATAGAACGCGTCGACTTCTTCTTTTTCATGGTTTGATATTGCCACGTAAACGTCAAAGATTGTCAAAGCCGGAATTGATCCACATCTTCTAATCGTAAACGTTCGATTCGGGCTGTAAGTTCTTCGAATGAAACGATGTTTATGGACGAACTAGTGTTGGCGAGAACGCTAACGCCGCCGACTCCTCTATTGCCGCATGTTCCGAGGGTCACTTCATGTCCGGTGTTGTAGGGGGCGTTGAATGTGTGGCGTCATCTCATCTCGGCCAGGCCGATGATGTCGTGCCTGGCCTTTCTCGCTTGCATGATCAAGTCTTCTATCGAGGACTCGCATGTAAGTGTACCATTTTAAGTGCAGATCGTCACCATAGTCCTTTGTAATCCAGACAGCTCCATTGGCCCTAAGATTTTAGCAACCTATCCGTACTCGTCCTTCCCAACCCTGCCGAATTATGGGCTCTTTCGGGGTTAGGAGAATGAGGACCGTTTTTTACCGTGTTTAGCATCTTGATACCTACGTATAGCTTGCTGGGCTCTGAATGTGGAGGCTGGGTATACTCACGGGTGGCTTGCCAGGCTCTCTCAGAGTGGACATGGGGCTTATTTGTTGGAGGCGACTTCTAACCGCCTCCCATGTGCTTCCCTGTCACTTGATTGAAGGCTTTTGGCCGAATTGACTCGCACAATACAATCTGCATAAGCGAGAACGCACCCACACACCCACGAATGAATACTCCTCGTAAGTACAGAGAGTATGTGCCTAATCGGAGCAGCAGAAACAGGGAGTCCATCCCTTGGATGCACCTGCGCCTCAGGGAAACGTACGGTCGCTTCTGGCCCTCAATTAACCCCCTATCCGCCACCTTGGGACGCGCCACGTAGCCTCGGGACTAGCCGGCTCGAGATCCGTCATATGAGGGACCTCCGTGGAAGCAAAAGATACGTACAACACTTTTGTTTTGGTAAATGTAATAACATGTTCCTTCTAATTTGATCCCTGGGATGTACCCGAATAAAACTGTTACATGTTCCCTAGTCATGAGAAACTACTAGCTCTGAAAAAAAGTCCCGTGTTAACTCGTAACCTTTGCAATTCCACGAGAAGGTAATCCAGATTCCACTAAAAGAGATAGAGTATTGACCTACGTAATACTAGGCTCGCTGACAAAAAATTGTGCCTCGAATAAATTTCACTGAAGTCCAAAATCGGACCAGATTCGTTTAATTCTTCTCTTCTAATTTAGTGAATCGGAAAAAACTCCAGTAAGTGAAAATTCTGTGGTGTGAGTGAGAACAAACCGTTGTGATCACTGATATTTGTCCGTTGCACTTAGCAAGAATAAAAGCATGAAATGACGGAACGTGAATAGATAGCAGCCTAGGCGGCCCATTATCCCATCAAGGATATGAGCCTTAAAGAAATCATCGGTAGGCTGATGGAGTGAAGTAAAGTGATTAATTCTTTTATGTGTCGACTGTCTTATGCTATGCAGCTGAGAGGTGGGCTAATAACTAAACCACGAACACTATTTCAGGCCGCTTATAGTGAGGTGGACCATGGACTTCGCTCGTAGGGGTGAATCCCATCCTACATCGCTCATTCGAATTTGGTATTGATTTCATTTCTTGCGCAAAGAAGTGAAAAGAGCTAAATACAACAAACGAAATCCCAAAACCACCACAAACCGAAATGTCTTCAATTTTTTACTCTCCCGTCATGTTGATGCCGTTCTTTATAACACATACGAGGAATGCAAATCGTTTATTCAACACCTTCACGCCAACACCGAAAAAGCCTTTCACAAAGCCCACTGAGCTACGTCAATCACAAAGTCAAGATGATTGTACTCCGACGCCCAGGCGAAGCAGTGACAGCCGCCACAAAAGCAATTAAGAAAATCATTTGCCGTCACCACTTGGGTCTCTGTAATAGCCACATCCTCCTGCAATAATATGAAATAAAGGAGGATGGCTATGTCACACCACCGGTTATCGCTTCCGAAATCCGACATTATATTTCGTCGGTGAAAAACCGAAAGCACCAGGCCCAGATAGGATAAAATCTGAACAATTGAACAACCTTCCACCAGTCCTCATAAACCCACTGGCTCGGCGCTTCACACGTTATCTGTCTGAAAGCAAGATCCCTACTCAATGGAAAACCAGCAAGACCGTGCTAATGTTCAATACGGGTGACTTCCGCGATATCGGTAACTATTGCCCAATCTGCCTGGTGTCTGTCGTCTGCAAACTTTCGACTCGAGTCATCCTAAACAGGATTGACAGAAAACCAGACGAAAGGCAGCAATGTGTGCAAGCAGAGTTTCGGACGGAATTTCGTGCGATGAGCCGCATCTACACGATAACATGACTCATTGAAGATTCCAATGACGAGGATGTGAACTAGTCAAAACAGTAGAGATGAGGCAACGAATGTTCTTGAAATGAAGTGTTTTGTTCAGAGGCCCTGTATCGAACGTTCTCCTCGCTCAGCGAGAAGTATCATACACCGTTCAAGATCACTTGTATCACTTGCCGTTCCGCTGATCATCCAGTGATGCAAGCGATCACCAGTAAACCTTCCATTTTCCCTGTCACGTACAAGACTAGCCCATGGGATCTGTTCGCTCCAGAGACCCGTTGAGCATCACATTTTTTTCAGCCCCTTCGCGAAGAACTCTATCCTTCGAAACCCTGGTTACCCCACAGTACGTTTGGGGCATTCGGAGGAATCCAGTCACTAACGGCTTTTGCGCATCGGTTGTCGTTCGTACGCATTACGTGTGCGGCCCACCTTATCTTCGACTGTTTGGCGTACAGAACGTCATCTTTGATTTTTGATCGTCGACGCAGGTCGGAGCTTCGGATTCCTTCCCGTGCTTGTGGCGTGTGTAGCGCAGTGGTCGGAGACGCCCTGCAATTTGCGTGAGGTAGATCTCGGCGCCCCAAGTTCACCAAGCCCTCCATTTTTCCGGGGTCGGCGAACTGGTACCAGACTTCTCTGGGAGGATATCAGCGCTGGCTTTGTACATCGGTAGGCCACGACGAGTCATTTTCAAGGCCAGATAAGCATTCAGTCACCTCCAACGATGCTTAACGAAGTTGGATGCATGGAGCATCCCTCAAAGGTTGATGAACGCCGAGAGCTTCATCTCGTATCCTTCTACACCGTGCTTGTGTGACACGGGATACTCCTTGAATCGTCATTTCGATTGAGCGTTCAATAACACTGAGTAATCTTTCGATCTGCCTAAGTAGCGACCAGGTTTCTGCCACACATGTTAAGGCAGGAAGTATCGCGGAGTAGTAAAGGTGGGTACGGAGTGCGGCGTTCATCGTTCTTTTAACTACATCCTTGCTGCTTTTGAAGGCTTCTCAAGCAGCTCGCTATTACCTACTCAATGCTGGAGCTTAGCCATTCACCGCCTTTATTTCTCCACCTAGATAGAAGTAACCCAAAGCATTCGGAGAAATTCATTCCATTGAGCGTGGATGGGCCAAGCGTAACCAATGCGTTCCTCATGAACAACGTTTTTGTAAGATTTAGCGAAACACCAACCTTTTCAAAAGCGTTATCAAGGTCGTTAAGTAGTCCTTCCGCCTGGCTAGTGCTGGGCGTTGTAAGAACGATGTTACCAGCAAAGCGAAGGTGGTGTACTTGTCGATCATCGATTTTCACTCCTGTATTATCCCATTACAATGTTGGCATGACGTTCTGGAGAGTGACGGTCAATAAATTTGGCGAGATGGTTTCTTCTTACCTAACTCCTGTTTTGACGTCGTTGTTAATATCGTCGTAGAATAGTGAGATCTCAGCTGAGAAATTTTTATACACTTCACGAGAAATCTTTATGTGCTGGGCAGGGATTCCCTGATTGTCCAGCACTTCCATGCCTGCTATGAGATCTTCGAACGCCCGTAAATGGAAGAATTTAGAGTTTTTCTAGATTGCGTTACACTTCCTTAATCTCCGATCTATACTATCCCATGTAAACAAATAACTCTTCTATATGTGCAACACTTAATTCTCCGTCTTCACTGAAGGCCGAGATAAATATTTGATAATGTCGACATCCACACAAGCGTGGAAATCTACAGACCATTCGAAATCCACGGAAATACCTTCACATAGTGAAACAACCATAACACGAAACGAAGTATTACGCAAGGGACCTTAAGGTGCCGCAAAGTGCTCAAAGGTGAAGACGCGAGTAGTGTGATTTTTGAAAGTCGTCTTGCGTCACGGCTCTGTGTTAGGTGCTGCTTTCCGTACTTTCTTGCTTCTTTCCGGCGATCCATCATTTTTTTTCGTTCGTATAGAGTTGCAACGATGTGTGATTTTTTCAGATTTGAATCCATTTCTGCGCATTCCACTGGCCGTTGTGTGACGCTGAACGCCGATCAGGAATCCGTTGTGCATTACTCGGTTCAGTAGGAGGAACATCTACTGATGGAGGACACCGGTGAGTCAGCTGGACTTGGTGAGAGAACCAGTGAAGGTGCTGCTGGGATTTTCGACTTTGATTCATTCACTTTTGGCGAGTTACCCAGCTATAGCTACATTGACCCCACTCGCTCGCCTTTCTGCTTTTCCGAGCGTAAGAGGTGGTCATTTGCTGATGGTGTACATGACAATAGTGCCGTGAACGTATCGAACGAAGGTAGTAGCGTCAATCATCCCGTTCATCACGAAGAGCACCCGTATGCGAAACCTGCCGGAAAGTCGTCGCGTCGTGGTCGCCCCGAGGAAGTTATCAGTACGTCGAGTTCGGCCAAGTATTCGACGAAGTACCGAGAGCGCCAGAAGAATAAGTTATTGGCACGCAAGGCAGAGCATGGGAAATTGAGTGAGCAGGTTAAGTTCCTTCATGCGGAAAATAGACATCTCAGTGCGGGATTTGGTCAACTAAATGAGCGCGCAGATGATATGGGAAATATGGTTGAAGGACACGCATGTACTTATCGAAATGCTTTGCCGACTCCACATTTTTGCGGACTTTCCAATGAAAAAGATTCTACTGACGATGTTTCTAATGTCCGTAGTTCAATCCCGCAGTAGTGTTGTTTAGTGGTAGCAGGTTGCGTGTGTTATATTCTCACTACTTGTTCTGCTAGCTGACTTTGCTTGATGTGTGAAGTTCTTTCCAATAACTGTCTATATCTCGCTTATTTTTGTTCTTCTATTACTTTATCCAGAAGTTATCTTTCTACTGAAGTGCCTGTCAGTCTGGAGTGCGATGCCTTCTAACTCAGTTGTTCTAAGGTGAAGTCCAAATGAAGTTGGTTGGTGGTGCGCTGATGTTTCTTTCTGGTGTGTGTTTGATTTTTTGCGGGTCGCAAGTATTGTTGATATTAAAAGCTCTTTTTGCTTAGTTAGAAGCTTTCTGATTAATCGACCCATCGTAGCTTGAGAGTGTCGCCCTGGTGGACCGCGCTCTTGTATCGCTAACAAGGAAGACTGATCAATTAGGAGGTTGTACCAGAGTGGAGCCGTTCCGGGCTGTGGTATGGTTTTGAACACTTTCCTTCATTGGATTGAGATATGTCTGGGCTGGTGATTGTAAGGATGAATAATCTACAAGATTTCAGGCTATTCTTTTAGCCAGGTGGTCGGTACTTCTGCGCAGAGCGTGGTTTATCCGGGCGACACTCCTATGAATTCTTTGTTATCGGCAAGCACAGGGTTCCTCTTGTCTTCTGTAGCATCCATCTCGATCTCTTGTTCAACGCATTCACCTATCGTTCGGTTAGTGTTATGTTGTTATAAATGAAGATCTGTAAGAAATGTCGTATCCTGTTCTGCTCGATGACGACGCTTTTGCGTCTACATGTGTTTATCGGTATCTACTTTTTACTATTTGTTTTAGTAAATTAAGTGCAAGAACTTCGTTATCGTTGTGTGGTCGCCATGCGTATGTGAATGAAAGAGTTGTGTGAATCAACTGGATGTCGTTGTCTGTGACGCAGAAATTTGAAGCATTTGGGTGGGGTTCAGGGGTGGTTGGACTTTTAATAAGAACAGAGTTCAGTATGGAGATTCTCACGAATACCCTACATACTTTTGTGATTTCAAATAAGTGGTAAGGGATGGATGTACCAGCAATTGTTAAAACAGGTCTACCACTTTATGCCTTACATCGTTATTTGCAGTTTGAGAGTGGTGGCATGTTGTTCTACGGTATGAGGGAGTTCGGAAATTCTGTGGTAAAACGGTTGTTTTGGTATGTGAGCCCTGTTCGGTCTGTTTTGTAAGCTGTAGCTTTCAAGGTTCTTGGAATGTTTATTAAACGGTGGGTTAAGGACAGGATAAGTCGAATGTTAAGGAACACCAAAGAGTACCGCAGTAGTGAGTGCGAGAGAGTGTTTGTAATTTGGAAATGGACTTTCCCGCTGATTGGTGGGTGGTGGTCGAGCACGGGTCTACAGGTGGGTTGCTCATCGACTTTTGACTGATAGGATGTTGGGTTTTTCGGGAGATCCTAGCGTAACCTGATATGTTTTTGCTTTGATTATTGCAAATGCAGAAGTTTTACAGACCGTATTGATTGATAGTCTTAGTGGTTGAACAACTGTGGTAGTGAATGCACCAAAGTACCAGACTTTTTCCACAGTTAAAGAATATCGTCGATTCAGTCAATCTCTCCAGAGGGGTTTTCACATACGGAGCGTTCTGTGCATTAAGTTTGGGTGTGTATCCAGGGATAGTAGCCGGCGTTGAAAAGCCTGCGGCCAAACTATGGCATATATTGCCTCACATTGGTAATGGGACTACCACGTGTCCGCTTGCTGGCTAACGAGTATCCATGGGCAGCACACCATAGAGGAAGGTGGTGTGACGTATCTTTTGCTAAGTTGTTTGTAACAGTTGTAATGAGTGCCGAAAACTCGGAGAATAACTACCTCTTCTTGTTCTTCTCGTCGTAGGAGCAGCAAACTAAGGCGGAATATGTCTCCCTACGGTTACTTGCTTGCGAGTGAGCATCGCAATTGGCTGTGAAAGCAAGATGGTGAGTTTTGCATCTATTATGAACCGTTCACTTTTGTAACAGGAACTTTAGCGTACAGTTTTTCGAGCTCGAGGGATAAAGCTTGCATGAAGTGCCATCTCCGCCTAAAGTCTGGTACGATAGGAGGAAAAAGTGTTTGTTAGTTGTTCTGTACGGAATTCGTAAAAATATGATTAATGAAAGAAAACTTCAGCTTGATCGGAAATGCGGAAAGAAATATGAGGAAAAGAGGGTGAGTCTGGAACTGCCAGTACAAGAGAATTGTGTATTGCGCGATAGTCGGCTTTTCTTTATGAATGATCGAAAGGTTAGTCTTCCTCCTTTTTTGAAGCCATTTCTTTTTTAAATGTGTACACATTTTAGCGCAGCGCACTACATAATTGTGCGGTGGTGCTATAGGCGAAATTGGACCAAGAAAGGCATTCACCTGCCTTCGCGTTTTCCTCATCAGGAGATGTTTCCCCGTCACAACTGGGCAAACGAAGCTCAAGTGCATGGCTGCTCATCATGAGTAGGAAGTGGTTTCAGCCGGATACGTAACAATTATTATCGAGGATTAGTAGCAACCTACTGGATTGATTGGTCTCGTTTTAAGACGTGATGTGCTCAGCTGATGTAGAGAGGAAAAATTTGTTGCATTATCGCCGTCTGTTTGTCCTCGATGGTCAAGTTACATTTTCGGTACATCCAACGAAAATGAAGGCACTACTTTCGCGCCTCACCTTGTCTCGACCAGCAGCACTTTTGTTAGTTAATTGGTATTAATTTTACTTACTTGGATACTTGGACGGCCCGTCCTTATTGGATGTGCCGGCCCCACCATATTCTCCATTTGGCGGAGTTTTGCTGGCTTAGCGATTATAGTTTCTTGGAGTCCCGAGGCCAACCTGGCGAAAATCTGCCCCAGATCGTCACCACCACAGGCAGTCACCGCCTTTGTGGATCAGAGGGAAATTTGCCAGCATGCGACTAGTTTGATAGCAGGATGGTGGTGGATCCTGGCATTCGTATTGGTTTACTCTTAGCTCTGCTTTCTGTTCGAAACGCCAGACTTCATCTCGGCTTGCAAGACCCTACCGGGAGGTGAATTCACCCCGGTGTACATCGCAGTCCGACATCCAGGAACACCACCGAGTTATGATGAGACTGAAAACCGTTGGGAAGGTTGATACTAATTGTTATATTTTAATCATTATATTTGTTATTGTGTGTATTGATTGTTCATTCATATTCAAGTGCGAAGATGCGGTTAGAGCAAAAACTCTTCCATCTTGTTTCCACTCCTGCCTACCATCTACATTTCGTGAGGAGACTACATAATCTCTAGAATCAAGTGGAATAGTTTGGACTTTCTGTTTTTCGGATATCAACGCTCCTAGTTGTTTTTTGTGTAGACCTTATTTACTGGAGCTCTTTATTCTCATAAATCAGGCTTATACATTTAAGTTTTATTTGAATGCTGTTCAATACGGCATTTAAAATTATACGCTTATGGTTATAGTATTGCGTTTCCTAACGATAACAGTGTGCTTTGTATTATGGGGGGATTCTGGTAGCTGGTTTATTGAGGCACTAGAGTTCTTCTTCCTGAAGAAGTTGTTCACAGCTGTTCTTGAGCTGACAGTTCTCAGTTGTTAGGACTTTAGGCAGTTCTCAGCGCCGACATTAAGCCTATCGCCTATGCGTATTTCCTGGAGTGAAGCAGGTATTAGTTTATGATTTACCTGAGAGTTCTATGCACTGTAACCCTTTGTAGTGAGGAATCACATGGCTGATAGGTTAACGATTTTTTGTTTTGAACCTAGAGAAACGCATAGGATTGACTTATCTACCAATATCCATTCAGTTTTTCATGGTTTTGTCACTACTCCTATACTTCGATTTGAATATAACACGATGAGGTGACGTTACGTTGAATCCTGAAGCACCTTGCCTTGTGAATACAACCAAGGTCCTTCGGTCCATGCTCTACACAAACTCTAAAATGACGGAAGAAATGGGTTGAGTGATCTTCGATGGAGTCCATAGTATGGGAGCCAAAGGTTGCCGTTTACTCTTTGAAGTTTTTGTGATTATTCGTGTTCTTTTAAAAAGAAACGCCACAGAAACCTTGTACGTTTTAGAACATTGAGTTGTTTGGGCTGAATTTAGCGCTCTAATGCCAACTAACGTTCATCATGTATTTCTCTCGGCTACCATTCCGAACGCGCCACATTTTGCAAGTACGCGGGAGTTTCCACTTTTGAATTTCATGGATGTCAATCCTGAAAGTTTTTGCAAACAGATGAGTATCATAATACAGGCTACCCTTCACTAACTTAGTTTTTATTTTATTACTATGTCTGGCCTTCATTTCTCTTTTTTTTGGGAGTGGTGTGTTTATTGCATAGACAACCAGTGTATGTCGCTTACATAGATTACCGCCGTCTCCTCTTGAGCATTTAATTTTTTCTGTGGGTAGGGAAGCACTGTGAGGTCATCAGCATCCAAGTTTAGATTGGTAGTTTTATGTGATGTCAAATAGATCTGCGTAACTGCATGTTCATTTCAGGGTGAATTCTGTGAAGGCAAATTCCTGGAAGAAACGAATGAAATGGACGGAATTGGTGACGAAGGGACCGGAGGTGTTCGAAAAGGTCGTAATAGTGGAACGAGGTGCGCTTTTTGATAGTTCTGATCTGTTTCGTTCAGGCTTATTTATTACAAAGTGATGCTCCGTCAATTGTGCAAATCCATTGTAAGGAAATGGCATGCTGACCTTGGCGGATGCCATGTATGCGTGATACTTCACTACTCTCTTTTAGCCAGTGCAGCAGTAAACATTACTGAATCGCCTTGTGGAACTACTGTTTCTATGGGTATGGTGAAGCGTCGATGAAAAATTCGTCTATTTATGCTGCATTTCCGAGAACAGCGTGATAGTGTTCGTATATAAAACAGGTGCACTCCTTAGTCGACGAGCACTGATGCAGTCGCATTCGTTTCGACGTAGTCAAGCGCTTTCTCGTAGTCGGCAAAGGTTAGGGCGAAGCGCAAATGGTTCTCCATATGGACTTGTATAACCCGTGATGCGGTTTTGATGTGGTCCAGCCAGCAGGATCCCTGTCGGCATCTTGCTCGTTCAACTGGATAGCTGTTCAGCCTGACCGTAGCAGCTATAGATCTCAATGATTCGTGGCCATCCAGTCTTGTATTGGGTTCACGCTCCATAGAATCATTTAACAAAGTCCGCTGTTACCTGAGGAATATGAATTTGGCGATGGTGTGTTTATTTCATTATTAAATTTCCTATATATGTGGCTACTGCGGTGTCAAAAAGTCCACATTTATTTGTTGAACAATCGAATGATCTTTGCTTCATTATGTTCATCTGGGCATTCGGTGGAATGCTATTCATCTTTTAATTTAGGCAAGGAAAAGCAATCAGTTCGCAGGATTTATTGTTGTGCTGCCGACCTTTCTAGTGATGACAAAAAGCTTCCTTAACATGGACAGGTACTTTTCTTTTGCTTTGCTGCTTTGAGTGTTTTTTTTTCGTATCTTTATCCCTTTTTTAGTGTGCTTAGCGTTATTCGAACTACAGCATTCTTCCTCTGTTATTTCGTGCTATTGGTGTTCATCACTTAGGGTGGCTGCCACTCCTCCAAGAAACTAGAGATGCTTGTCGTTTTCTTGTTCAGCAATCGCGAGGTTTTGTAGAGATGTTGTTTCGAGGTGATCTGTTGTAGGTTGGACTTAAATTCATTGTTCACTGACTTCATTCTCTTTTCGTGGTTCGCAGTTCTTTTTTTATTTAAATGTATAGTCTTTTCCTCTTTCATTGTAGACTTTCTTTGCCGCTGAAACGTTCTCAGTGGGTTTGAGCATGCCAGCGTAAACAGCTTTGTTCACGTTATCCATTGGATTCGACGGAGTTCATTGCAGGTATTTGAACTTTTTCCCGGTTCTTCACTTTTAGTTTTACTTTAGTACATATACTCTGAATATAACTTCTCGTAAATTTTCGACTGCTGGAATAATTGTGTTCCGAGCCTGGCAGATATATAGAGAACGCTTTCCTTCATTGCTTTAGGTGTACAAATTTGCTTTCTAAAGTCACATTTTGGTTTCAAATACGATAGAAATTTAGATTACGAGGAAACTCGAAGCTAAAATTTTAATTTCTTAGGTTTTTTTTCCTAGAGCGCCACAGCCGTTAACATCAACGGTGCTCTCTTGACTGCTCAATCCGTTTGATGTTCGAGAGAGAGGCCTCGATAAAAAAAATGTGCAGAATGAAAGGACTTTTTGCAAAAGGAATTCGTGAGCTCCACAGTAGGAATTTATTAGCGTAAGGAAGAAAAATTTTTTGCCTTTTTGGTCAATCTCTGTCCTAATGTTGTTTCTGTGTTAGTAAAGTTCTTAATGTGCTCAGCTATGTTCATTCGAAGTTGAGCGGCGTAGTCATTTTCTAACGCGCATGCACAAACATGAATGCATTTGCGTTGTTGTTGGATCAGTTATTAATTATTAAAGCAGCTTTACTCTGCTGTTCCAATAGGTAGATGGCTTCTGGCGAACAATCCAGTTGTCGGGAAGAGGTGGTCGGCGAGGAGAGGATGGTTATGGTTTGGTATTTCTATTGGTCGATCACAAAATGGGTAGTGATGGTGCTAAACAAGTTGTTAAGGTGAGGTTTTCACTGCATTCCCATTCTCTAAGTATGACTTTCGTGCAGTACGTTTGGCTTGCTGTTTTTCGAGTGTTTTTCCTTTAAAGTACGCAGTGCTTATCGCCCGGATTTCCTTCCACATTCAATGCAATTTTATATGTTTTTATTTTATGTAGAATTATTTTTCTTACGTTACAGTAAACTCTTCTAAGCTCCGACGGCAAATATTTCTTACGCCTTGCGTTTTACAGGGTGCGACTATTCGTCCTCAATTCACAGTTCCGTCCCACATACTGTGCGGGATCGAACTTACTTATTTCGAGTCAAACACGTCAATCCAGAGTTTATGTTGGAGCGGTCGTGATGGTGATTCTTATTTCTCCGTTCAATTTATAACATTTTGCTAGTTTTCGCCCAAAGTCTTGCAGTGAATTGAGGTTAGCCATAGCTAACTTACCTAGGTAGTAGCTGGCATCTCATCTATGTAAGCATCTTGCGTGTGAAATGTGGAGTTCTGACTATTCCCTCTTTGCGATTTAAAAGGAATTAACTGATATTTTGACATAGACATGTTAACCTTCATGACTTTCTACCTGCGTTGAGAATTAAGTGATATGTCAAACCATAGTCCCAAGCTTTGATCAAACGTTAACTCAAATTTCGACTTATCACCTCCGCACTTGACTTGTTTTGCTGCGTCAGGTGTTGCTAAAGTTTTCCGGGATTGGTTTTAACAATAAAATGAGAAAGTTAGAATGAATTATATCTGTTAAGGAGTGGACGAAAAGAAGGACGAAGTCGACAATATGCGTGTAGAGCATGGACGCGATGTAACGGCGCTCTTCGATATGGACATGCTGGTAGTGGTTTTTACTCGTCTTGCTCGTGGCTCTCACTGACCTAAGTGTTTCATTATTCCTAGAAAATGTTTTTTAACAGCTCATTTTTTGGTATATGATTTATAAATGTAGATTGGAAACCTTCGGAGAACAATGAAGGAAACAATGTCCGTGCCAAAATATCTGCTGCCGTTTCTCCGCGCCAAAAGGATGTTCCATGTATGGTTTTGTACCATTTTATATATATATATATGTATGTATGTATATATATGATGTTCTAAGGAATATGAACGAAAACTGCCTATAGTTTGTAAGTTGGTTTTTCTTCTACAAATCGTTGTTGATAGCCTTGATTTTGGTTTGGTCTTTGGTATGGACTTCTGTGCACACACTAATCCAGATGACAGTACTGAGAGGTTATTCGTCCTCCAAGTAATTATTTCTTTCTTATTTTGCCAACCACTGTTGTGACCAGTTTGTTCAGGTGTTAATAGAATTTAAAAAGTTACGATTTTTTGAATGTTAATCTCGAACCAACAAGTGAACGAACATAAATGTGTTGTTTTTACAAACTATACGGTAGCTCTTCTATCTTTAGGGGTCTTCGTTGTTTAAAATATTTTAGACGTCGTGTGATTTTTGTTCTCAACCTCTCAATGGTTTACCGCCTCATCATTACTGGGAAGCGTTGCTGGGCGTCGGAGCGCGAAGTATAGGGTAGGGATTCGTACCTCATGCAGGGTCTACCAAGCTAAGAAGGAGTCCGGCTTTTCCGTCAGGAAGCCTAGCTAAGATAAACCAATACCAGGATCCGTCACCGTCCTGGTATCAAAGTCACATGGTGGCAAATCTTCCTCTGATCCACAATTGCTGCGGCTTCTGTGGTGGTGGGGACCTGGGGCAGACTTTGGCCAGGTTGACCTCGGTATTTCCAGGGACCACAAGTGGCTTAGGCAGCAAATCTCCGAAAAGTGGTGATTGTGGTGGGGCCCGCACAACAATTGAGGACGGACCGTTCAAGTATCAACTAAGTAAGTAAGTGGTTTTTGTTCAGTAAGTTTTGGTTTTGTGGATAAAATGAGTTTCCTTCAATTATTGCTTCCACTGGAACTGGGTTCCGAATACTCCAAAAGTGTTGACCAGCAGAGGATTAAGCTAATTTGAAGGTTTTTACTTCATCTGTGCTTTCTCAATTGTTTTCTTCTTTCCTTTTATTATCGTAATATACCAACGGAGCTTTAATGCCGTTTAGGGGTTCTTATCGCTTTTACAAAATATTACCACTTTTCAGGTTCCTGTGGGGGACTTGAGTATCTCCGAATCGTAAGTTCTTGATGCTGTTGATCATTGAATTGGTGGAATGAAGAAAAGAGCACCCGTTGCAGGAAATTTTGGTGATATCAAGAAGCGGTGGCTTTCTAAGGTTTGCTGCGAACTTGTTTCATAAGCCTATGTTTCTTTAAGGTTAGGCATTGGGTATTAAAGTACGGGTTGGCTATTTAGATGCTTTATCACATGTCAATTCTCAGGATCGAGCGGAGCTGGAATACACGGCTGTCTATGAAGAGTTACCAAAAAACGTAGTCTGTCTTGAAAGTCAAGGTATTTGGTCGGAGGAAATCACCGCTGCGCCGCATTGGATACGCTGACCAGTGCGATGTTATAACTGACAAGGTGTGTGGAAATATGACGTATCGGCGCATTTGTATCCTTAATCAGATTTGTGTGTGTTTAACACACTGACGATTGTGTAGGTATTCCAACTAAAATGTCGGGTTGTTTGGAAATTTACCCACGATTTCAATCTGTGTTCTCAAAGTCGCATACCTCAGACGAGAATAAGTTTTTTTTGTCGGAGCGAGAACCTTTGGAGTCTTTACATTTTTGCCAACAAGAACATCTAACTATTTCGGTCGAGTAAAACTCTAGAGTTTTCAAGACGACGGAACTGCTGAGGGAAGTTTGGTTACTGGTGCATTTCTTATATAAAAATGTTGTCCATATGCATGAAGTGCTAGTTGGTGCGCCATAGCTGCGCCGCTTACAATGAATGTTATCGTGGAGGAGAATTGGTTCCTTCCTATTGCTCAATGCCGATCGTACGTGTTGAAGCCTATTCCATTTCGTCGATTTTCTTTACGTTCTTCGTCGTTAGAGGCGCCACTGCGACACACACGTGGAATCGATCCCCGCGCCCATGGTCCAACAAGCTTTCTATCTCTCCGGGGTCGGCAGTTTGGTACCAGACTTGTGTGAGAGGATAGCAGCACTGGCTCGATAGATCGGTATGCCATCGCGAGTCATTGTAAAGGCCAGATATGAATTCAGTCACCTCCAATGATACTTAATGAAGTTGAATGCATGACGCATTCCTCAGGGGCTGATCAACGCCGAGAGCTTTATCCTATTTTTTACTTCGTTGTCATAATCCTTTAATTCGGATTTCGAGACCCGCAGTGGATTAGAACTGCGGCAGACGAAGAAAACGTCAGAACGGCCTTTTTCGGTGCCATTTCGACTTTGGGAAATGCTGCAAAGCTGCATTGCGGTTAAGACACTAAACCAGGCGTCGGCGATCATCACTGTGGATCCACTTTTCGATGGACATCGCAATGCGGTCAAGAAATGTTGTCCTGCTTGCTGAGGAGCGCTGATAGAACCTCTACACGGCGATTTATTCTCTACTATCATGCAGAAACAGATCAGATGCTTACAACAGGTTCTGTTGCAAATTTCGCAACGAACTTTTTCCACCCACGTCGTTCTCTGCATTCCTTAACACTACCTTGGTCCCATATTTCGTTAATGTTTCGGGTCGTTTGCAGTTGCATTACGAATGAGTTTGAATTCGTAGAAGTTGGCTTGTCGAAGACGCTATTTTAACACCTGAAATTTAAACTGTCAAATCTTGTCGAGAACAGAGTTTATATAGCAGTTCAGTCATGCCGATGATGGTGAGTGAAATAGGCTTCTGTTAATGTATAGTAATGCAACATTTGGAAAAAAATTCTGCAAGGACATAGACAAGACATTGAAATAACAAGCCGTTTATTGTTTTCAGAAGAACAGTACTTCAAGGTTTGACGATTTAACAAGTGTAGGAATGAACCTCTTTATCCCTATGATATCTATCCATTGATAAACCTTTCGTGACCATGCGCATTGATTTCGATATGCAGAGTGCTGCGCGTTTGGGACCGTATATCTCGGTTTCAATGCGTATTTCGATAGCGCTTCAGTTACGCGCGGTCCCGTACTCCTGCCTCGCGAGTTCACCACGGTCATGAACAGGTTAATTTAATGTTTTTGTTGAAAATGTTTCTGGTTAATTTAATAAAGTATTGATAGAAATCTAACTCGACTGCAGCATCTATGGACATCAGTGATACATGACTATCCCTTCGTCTGTTCCGATGGAGTACTAAACCGAAATCTGCTCAGAAACTTATTTTTCTACTGTTTTTATATCAATTAACAAAGTTCGCTGTTAGCTATGAAATATGTTTGGATTATGCACTACCTGACTCCGGAGCACGCCACCAGTCCACCAGCGAAACGGGTGATCGGCAATGCTAACATTGGTGCTGGCCATCAGTTTGTTGAAGTTTATTGAATATCTATTCGGGATGTTTCGTTATTACATAAATTTGCTAGGAACCAATGCATCCTTTGATGGCAAGAGATGTTTTCACCATGACATTTGGGACAATTCGACCTGTAGAAGGACAATTTGTAATGGCACGTTCTGATCGGTATAATTACGTATACTAAATGACGGAGTACGTAATATTCATACGCCTAAAGTGGAAGAACAAATCTAGATCCTTTACATTCTTTTCGTATTCCTAGAAGATCCTTTTTCACAATGTTGTCGTATTATCAACCCTTAAAGTCCTTTGGTTCGCTGCAGATTATACTTTACTGCCGAACAGTCAGCAGCTTCATAACAGCCGAAAATTACGCGTCATTAACGTATCGTTGGTAATATCGTGAATGTGCTAGTTAACTTGCGTATTCTAGCACATTTTCAATATTTCGGTTGTTAAGACTTATTTTGGTCTGTTTAATTCCTGGAAGCCACTTTTCACAAATCTTCGGCCATTTCCGATTGAAAACTATTTGCTACCTATCGATTAGTTGGATTCTGAGGCATAAGCAATTAATGGACTTAAATTGTTGTTTAGTAAGTTAAAGAACAGTATTCTTTATTCTCTTGCAGCGTCTTTCAGTGTTGGGCTTTCCTCTTAGCATATTCTTCCAAGCTGAGAGGGACCTTAACGTTTCCTGCCGGAGTCCCAGCTAATAGTCAACCAATGCTGAGAATCACCGCCGTCTTGGTATCAAATTATTTGTAAGGTGGTAAAGCTCCCTCCAATTCACAAGGACCGACGACTGCCGATAATGAGCACTTGAAGAAGGCTTCAGTTGTACTAGCTTTACCACTCCAAAGAACCACATGTAGTCGACCAGCAACGAAGCAGGATTAGTATTCCGCATTCTGTGCGCATCTCTGTGCGACGTTGGGCGGTGAGGCAACGAGTGAGAGGCGACCAAATCTTGGATTTGAGATCCATAAGGATTTTGAGATATGAGCAAAACTCGGGAACTCAGTTGGGATTCAAACCCAAGATTACCTTTACCGCTCCATTGATCGCTTCCGTCGACTCATAACTGCGTAGAGTAAAAATACAGGTGAGACAAAGGCAAAGCAAGTGCCTTGGTCTGTGCCAGTGTCTTGGATAGCATTCGAGCCTCGGTAAGGGTAGTAACAGGTTGGAAGACTACCTGAGGTCGCGAGATTTGCTCATATCTCAGCATGCTTCAAGTTCTTTTTTTCTGGAATCTGGGTCTTTTGTTTTCACAAAAAGTGAGCTTACCCTGGCTCCTTCAAGGTGTGGCCATCTGTACATAGATTCACCCTATATTCCGATTCCCATACACTTTTTGGCTACGATACTGCTTCATTGTTTTGTTGATATTCTACCGAAAATTCTTCTTTCATCTTCAATTCATTACCTTCTTAGTATAAGACACCGACTTTTATTTCAGAGCATAGAAAG